GGATGTGGCCCACCCACACTATGGAGGATAATCTGCTTTACTCAAAGTCTGCTGATTTAAACATTCATCTCATTTGAAAAATACCTTCACAGCAACATCTAGATTGGTGTTTGACCGTACATCTGGGTACTGTGGCCTAGCCAAGTTAACACGTAGAATTAACCGTCTCAGCTAGCGTGTAAGTTCCATGTGGGCGGCTTTCTTTCCTGCAGGACTTCTCTGGGCCTTTGATATGTTTGTGTATATTGTGACACTCTGAGCAGGAAAGATAGTCTTCAGTTTCCCAACCCTGTCTGACCTTGGAACCACTTGTTTGTGGACCTCCTATTCACAGCTGAACAGCCTGGGCAACCTTGCTGTAAACCGTAGAACTCCTACCGTCTGTAAAGATTATGCTCATTTTTGCAAACATCTCCTTGTTAGAGATATTGTTAGGTATGGCGTTCTGTTTCTGAAAAGTAGTTGTACAAAACAGTTGCATCGTAATTTGCATAGCATTAAGGATCAAGAATTATTTGCACAGTTATTTCTGAGATGGAACTGAGCATACCTCACCCCGCCCCGTGCCCCCACTATTCAATTTCTGGTAATTTTTTGTTTCCACTTCAGTGGCACAGAAATAAATAGGGTTTGGAAAGCTGGGTGGGTTGGACGTGTTTTATTTGTTCAAGAAGATACTGACCCTCGGTCAAGCCTTTTCCTGTTTCCCTGTGGCTTCTCTGAGTACATACCTTTTTATTTCCCATATTTGCCGCTGAGACTTTGAGATTTAGCAAATGGAACAGATGTTAAGATGCCCAAGGCAGTATGCCAACATATCAGAGACAGAGGGAGAAGTCTGAAGGGCAATTCTAAGACATGCTATTTTATTTATCATGTCTCATGCTATAAGGCGGCATATTCTATGATTTGTTTTAACCACCATCTTATTCTTCATGTAGGGAAATCAGAGAGATATTTTCATCTCCTGCTTGTCTGACTGGAAGTTTTTTAAAGGAAAGGTAATATAGTTAAGATATATAATAAATTTAAAATTCTTTTAACTGTTAAATTTAAATAACTATTAACAGCATGGTGATTATAAACAGCATGGTCATTATAAATAATACTACTATATTGTATATTTGAAAGTTGCTAAGAGAGTAGATCTTTAAAGTTCTCATTGCAAGAAAAAATTTGTAGCTGTGTTTGGTGAGGGCTGTTAACTAGACTTACTCTGTGATCATTTCTCAGTGTATACAAATATTGATTCATTATGTTGTACACCTGAAACTAATATAATGTTATATGTCAGTTCATCTCAATAAAAAATACACTGTGAAAGATTGTGAGGAAAATGGTTTGAAGGTAAAATAATTAGCTATATGCTCATTGTAGAGAATGTCAGAAATATAGACATGCAAAAAAGAAAAGGAAAATCATCCATAAGCCACCACTTAAGAGTAATAGGTAGCATTTGTGTATGTATCTTTTTTTCTATGCAAAAGTGTTCTTTTACAATGAATGGGATCATATTGTTTTATACATTGCTTTACACTTAGTACGTTCGTCCATTTTCCATTTTACTCAGTATTTTCCTATAAGATCATTTTAACGTCTGCATGGTATTCCATGGCAAAGACATACCTTATTTAGTCATTTCCTTCTTGCATGATGAATTTTTTAATATTACGAAAGAACGACTTTACACTTCTTTTCCTAAATATTTGTATAATATTTATTTATTTAAAAGAATTTTTGCTATTTTCAGATACTAAATATATGTATTATTTTACAAAGAATGTGTCTGCTTTTAGACAATGAATATATTCAGTTTAGTATAAATATAGCTCATGGGTTAAGATATTTACATGTTGCATTAATAATTTTCTATTGGAATGCTCAAAATTTACTGCTCTGGAGCCCCTTTTATTGGTCTCCCCTTTCAGTTCCTGTAACCGGGAGAAATGGTCATTTTTTCAGAAACAGGAAAAAACCTTTACCTTTTTTCTGTGACTATTTTTTTTTACCGGAAAATAAATATTTATTGATTATCCATTTAAGATAAGACAATATCTGAGTTAAAGTCTGATATCATATATATTGTTAATGCAGCCTTGATAATTTTTGGCATTTTAGAAGCAATTATATGTTGTCAATTACATTTTCGATTGTATTTGTATTCAGCAAAATTATTGAAGTTATTGTAAAGTTGAGCAAAAAAGGTAATTTTATTGAAATAAAGCAAGCTTTAGAAGAAATTTTTCATCTGGATAGATAATCTAATAAAATAATGAATTTTGAAATGTCTTTTGTGAGTTACATATCCATCTGTTTTTAATTTATCTTCCTTCCACAGATTAACTGCAGAAATGATGTCTATTAATTTGGATGTAAATAAAGCAAGAAACACCTTTAAGGAGTTAACCCAAAAGGACTGGATTACTAACATGGTGGTATTCTTCAGATTGTTATTTAGAAAAAGAAAATACACGAAAACATTTTTTTTATAAGAACTCAAAATTTCAGAAGAAACATTTTGTTTGGAGAGATTCTCTGAGACCCTGTAGCATATCCAAATGCAGTTAAACTCAGATAGCACTCGGGAGCTTGCCAACATAGAACAAAATGTGGTATAGTGGTCATATAGGTTACAGGTAGTCTGAATAGTTCATCTGTACGCGCACACGCAAACACATCTGCACACACTCCCCTAGAGGGAATTTTTTCAACTCAAGGCTTTAGGAAGATGATGAAAGGGTTTGTTGAGATTGGTGCACTAGAATAAGAACAACATTTTATTTGCAGTTCTTTTAAACATAATTATAGAAATGAGAGCACTTTATCTGATGTGACATTCCTTCGCCAAGGACTGCCTGGATTCTTCGTCCCTGTGTTTGTTCCATTGCACTTCCTTTTCTGTAGGTTCTAGAATGTTCTTGTTTTGGGGGGGTTGTTCCTTCTTTGTTTCAGCATTACTACTATCTGTAGGTTTCCCACTTGCAGATGCTTCAAACATGGTTCCTTTATTAATTTGGTTTTTCTTGATGCAACCTTTATTAATTTATTTCCCAGTTCTATTGTCCTGGCTGATCTAGGGCTGGTTCTTTCTGTGTTCTTCTCTCAATCTGTTTCTTTCTGGGTCTCACTCTGGTTCCTTTTTTCTTCTCTCTCCTTCACTTCTCTTCACCTGCCCCTCCCTTCCCTTTCCCTCACCTCCCCTGCCTCTCTCTCTCTCTCTTCTTCTCTGCCTCTCTCTCATTTGATCTTTCCCTCTGTTTCTCTTTCTTCATTCTCTTTCCCTCTCGATCTTGTTCTCATGTCTCTCCCTCCCTCCTCTCAGCTCCCTCACCTGCTCTGCTGCTCTGTCTGCCATAATCAGCATTCTGTATCTGAGCCACAATTTCTCTCTCGCACACACTCCTTTCCGTCTTTCTTTTCTCTCAAGGAAAGATGGAAAGTTGAATTCTGTTAACTTTGGCAAAACCATGGCCCAATTAGGGGTGTGGGGTAAAATAGATCCTAATTATGCACCTTCATCAGGACTCTGCAGCGCTCAGTGGAAAGATCACCACAAATAGACGGCCATTTCTGCGTCTGTGAAGGGAAGAAGTTGGACCAGTTCATCTCTAAGGCTAATTATACTGTGGTTGTGCCAGAGCAATATCATATAATGTGCAAGCGACATAATCATAGAGCCATCTTCCATTGTTTCGGACGCGACAGTTGGATCAGAAGACCTGTAATGTTTCTTTCTATTTTGAGAATTCTGTGATGTGGATTCACAGACTTTTGTCACTCATTCATTTATTCAGCAAATATTGGAATACTTGCCACGTGTGGGGCACTGTGACAAGGACTCCTGACGGCTCCCTGTGCTGAGAAGGTCGTGGTCTAGTTAGGGAGACAGACAGGTACTCTCAGGTCTTACTGGGAAGAGTGGGCGTGTGTTACACTCCGCTGTCCTCCCTAATGCCTAGCTTAGAACGTAGTGGGTATGTAATAAATATTTTTGGGTGAATGGATTCAGGCATTACTGGGGCAGTGGATGGTCAGCTCTACTTAGATACTCAAAACAAGGTGCCCCGGGGAAGGAGGAGTTGACCCAGGTTGCCACATGGGTAAGGGCGTTCCTGGCAGCCAGGAAGTATACACTGGGCACGGTGTGTGAAACAGTACAACTGGTGTGAGAGTATCACAAGAGTTCTGAAGGGTTGGGAGTCAGATGGGAGGTTTGGGGATGTGGCTAATGATGAGCAAAGAGGTGGGAGGGCTGTGTGCTATTGAGACGTGTTAAAATAGAGTTGTCAGGTGTGTGTAACTCCAAAGACTGAACCACGTTGTAGGAGCCCAGTGTAATGTTTTGATATAAAAATAGATAATTGTAAGAACTGTGCATTCAGAGAAAGCATTTAGCTAGTATCCCATAATTTAGTGATTAAGAGTTTGGGCTTTGGAGTCAGAAAGATCCAGGAGAGCTTCCCACTTAGCTGTGTGACCTTGAGCGAGTTAATTTCTCTGAAGTTCAGATTTCTCAACTCTAAAATGGGGTAATAATATCATCTATGTTATAGAAAAATGACAAGGATTAAAGGACCTAATTAATATATGTGAACCCTTAGCACAATGTCTGACAAATACGTATTCCATAAATACTGGCTTATCTTCTTAG